CTTCGACCTGAAAAATCAGGGGTTAGGATTTGCACCGGGTGGAAAGAAACTTGCTATCGCAAGAGTAACTCCAGCTAGCTTCGCTAGCTTTCGTGACAATGCTATGAAACCGAAGATTACTTGTCGTGAAATCGATGACAATGTTCTCAGCATGACATCCACATCCTCATTCCATCACAAACCCCCCCACCCCCCCCACCCCATTTTAATCACACGACTAATCGATGACAATGTTATGAAACCGATGACAATGCTATGAAACCGAAGATAATGTGGTGAAACCGATGACAATGCTATGAAACCGAAGATTACTTGTCGTGAAAACGATGACAATGTTCTCATCCCACCCCAACCCAACCCCCCACCTTTCACGTAGCATCAACTTCAGATAGCAAGTGCAAACGAACGTCAATATGCCCCATCCCCCCCCACCCCAACCCCCCCACCTTTCACGTCGCATCAACTTCAAAAATCGCAGTAGTCACACGTTCGGTTTTACACCCGTAGGCATAAACATGCTGCTTCCATCATCTCTAAAAATCTCCAACTCCGTATCACTGATCATTTCGTTGAGAAAGATTCTATACCTCCCCCAGAAATCATGGATCCCATAGTGTCACAATGTGTCATCGTTTTCATGGTCTTTTCATTGTCTTTTCAATGTTTCATCACTCCACTCCTCGCATCTCTCTACACGAAAAGACAACAACATGTACACCTCTCTCAGCAGTCGTACACGTCGCCCCCACCCGGAGTACCACGCGGTACCAAACGGTCGTCGGTCCCTCAGCGAAGCTGCCCCAACGCTGGAGGATCTCCGGCTGGCGGAACATGTGCCGGATCCAGAGCGGCGTGCACTTCTGCTGGTTCGCCACATGACTCAGAACGAGAGGTTCCAGGCAATGCAGCAAGGCGTTCATTCGAAGGCAAAGTCCGATTGAGGTGCAACAGAAATGCCCTTTTGCTTCCCGGTTTGGGAGATTTGGGGCAGTGGGTGCTAGTGTAGAACCCCAGGTGCTTGCGGGTATCTCCAGCAAGTCGGACCAGCAGGTATGTGTGACCATGTCTTCTGTTGGGTCTTCGGAACGTCCTTGAAACACAATTTGGTCATTCACATCTTGCCCTACCACTTTTTAGTGGAGCACACCACCCCTGGAACCTATGACAGGTTTGGAAACTCGCCTTCACCCAAAAGGATGTTGGCGAACCTTTTACTTTTCTTGATCCAAAAAGGGCTGTGTCCAGGTCAGCCACCATACAGTGTATGATGTTAGTGATGGTATATATAAACACACTGTGGTTTACACTGAAAATGCTATAACTGCTTAGAACTTAGACTGAGCTATGCAGCAAAGTCTTTCGACCTGACCAGCTGGACGGAGAAAACGTCAGGTGGAGGGCAAAGGATCACATGAAGAGATGGCGATCAAACGGGTTGTCACAAAGACGAACGAACAAACGCACGAACGAACTGCGAAGCTCTAAGGATCTTCCACCGGTGCAACCTACAGTAAACAAACCAAAAAAAACCAACCAACCAACCAACCAAACAAACAACCAACCAACCAAACAAACAGGAATTCATGCGGCCCAACATTGGGTCTAGCCTTCCTTTAATTGTTGTTTCTTTCAGCCGGCATTCTCGGGTCACACCGAGATCTCTTCCGTCGTCGCACCAACCGTCGGGTCGAGCGAAGAACTCGAGCAGAACACGACGTTGCTCTGTGAAGTAAACCATAAGTGAACCTGTCGAAGCAGTCAATATAGCAGTCAAGAGTAGTGTTGACATGTGTTGACTGCTATAGTATGTTGACTGCTTCGGTAGGTTCACTATATCGTTCACTTCACAGAATAGGTTCACAGGTCGACAAACCTCTTTCGACATGGTTCATTCACCAAGAACATGTTCAGCGGAGGGAAGGGACTAGCTCTATGGACAAATGATTTCCAAACATTGGAAGAAGTATGACGAAGTCTCAATTCTTCTCCATTTCCTCCAACAACACGTCCCCCGGACTTCTCCCCAGGGACGAGCCGGCTCGTCCTCCCATAGTCCACGGTTCTTCCCTGCCGTTTGGCTCGTGCGTGCCACGTGCCATGTGCGACGTGACGTGCTCCGTCCGAGGGGCTCCAGGGCCTCGTGGGTCCCCAACATCACCTGAGATCGGGGACCCGTGCCGACGTGTCGACCTTGCAGAAACCCATAGAAAGGACGTATTTCAGGTGGGTTTTTGTTGGGTATGGTTGGGTTTCAGAGGGACTTGACAAGCGGAAACTGTGTAGGTGTTTCAAACAAATAGCAGAAACCATCATAAAGCTTTATTATAGCCCCAATCCCAGAGTCTGAAAGAGACATGGTCGACAGTTTTGAAAGGTGGCTCAGTTCTTCCAAATCAACAGCTCTACACCCTTATAACACTATCAATATAACTATCAATAGTTGGATGATAACTGCCTCATTTAGACGGAATCTGCATCTGACCGATCCCTCACATTGATGGATCAACCAAATCCTTCCTTCGACGAACCATGCGAACCGTCACTCCACTGGCCTCGGAGCGGCCTCTCGCGCTCTCGGAACTCTTGGAACCGGTCGGACGAGTTGCAAAGAAGAGCATGGATGCTGCGACGGCGCCTGAAACTCCAGTTCGCACCCGCACCCGGACCCTTCGGAGGTCGCCGGCAGTCCGATCTGAAGGTTGTAATGGTTAGGGTCTTGAATCCTGGTTTTTTCCAAGCAGGGAGCCCAATGGTGACCCAATGTGATACCGGGTTTGGTATGGTTCGGCGAAATCGAGCTGATGAAGTCAAGCAAGCAAGCAAAATACGCAGCATTCTTAAGTTAAAAGAAACATCGGTGTCGGCACACATGTATGCCCCTGACAAACCGACCTCCCTCCAAAAACAAGGACAAAGTTTATAGAGTGCTATAAAGAGGACCCTTCCCGCAAATGATTGCTCGCTTGCTCTTTATAGCCCACCTCGAATTGCCAAATCGTGAAGGCAAATGTCTAATGTGAACATCACTGCAGTGAAAGGACCACAAGTACAGTAGCTAAACTGTCACTGGCTTCAAACTTCCAGTTGTCATCACAATGAATCTAACCTTAAAGGATTCTAACGGCTCTCCAACGAAGCTCCAGCAAACAAACCCCAATCAAGCCTCCACGCTCCCCCAACAGCTCTCCCAACAGCTCGCGCTCGCCTACTTCGGTGAGATAGTAGCGATCCAGCACCAAACCCAGCACACAGGTTACCAAGGCCAAGGCAACAGGTAACAGATATTCCTCGGCAAAAAACACGTGAATGTCTGCGGATTTGCTCCCGAGCCTCATTCTATTCAAATCACATGCAAAAAACATCCAAACACACACATTCCTTGCTGGTTTCAGGTCCCTGATCCTGATCACGCCCTGCCTTTTTGCTCACCTATTGAACCAAGTTCTGGCCCAGTTCGCAGCCAAGGCTCTAACCAGTGGAAGATCGTGCAGCACAAGACACATAAGGATCCTCCGGCCGAGCGACGAGCTCATGCGGGATCGGCGCCGACTTCGTGAGACGGCATACTTTTTGGAGCGCTGGAGACGGGACCACTTGTCCTGTTCTGAAACTAAGAAAAACAATCCCGAACAAATCCCTTGGGAATCCAGTTCTGTTTTGGAAATCCAGTGAACCCAATCCAGTGTGGAGCTTTCCTGTTCTGAGGCCCTTCTTGGATGAGCAGTCTCAGACACCTCCTCATGAGATACTTCCTTCCTTTGGGGGGCACACACTTACACATCCAAGCCTTTCAAAAATCGATCCACTGTCAAGCTTGGATGTGCCAGAAAGACATCAAGCTCTTAAAGGCAATAGAACAAGATTTATATAACAAATCATAACCCTAGGAATCCCTAAGATACAACAAAAACACTGGCACAATTATAGATAATTATAATATATATATCATATTATATCATATATTTTCTAATTGTATTCTTATCTTGGAAGACACAATCATCCGATGTCTTTTGCATCAAACATATCTGCTTAACTCGCACCCACCGAGGAAGGCGGCCGTTGGTTCCAAGGCACGTGCTTCCGCCTCCATGGAAAGGAACTGCGTTCCTCGGAGACGTCGTAGATCGGTAGACCCGTTGCCGGAGGTGTGAAGTCTTAGGGTCTTAGAGCTGAGGAGAACTCCAGGGTGTTCTGGGATTGAGCTACGACTGAGATGGGCGAATCTGGGTTGACCGATTGTAAATCAGAATTGACCAAATCCCTTGGGAATCTTTGGGATGAGTGATGATGAGTGGGATGCCAAGGTTCACCCCACCCAGCATTTTGTCCTCGGACTCAGCTTTCATAGAAGATGGCCAGATCTGACCCATAGTACCTTGTATTCCGAGAACAAACGAAACAAATCCCTGAAGCCCACCGGTTGAACGCTGAAGACGACCGCTGCTCTCCGCTTGAAGACCCCTGCGGCATCCACACCAAGGTGCCATCACCTGTCATCCACACCGTCTCCGTCTCGATGTGGATACCTACAATGGCCCGATGAGAACGGCTTCAGAGCCTGCAGGTGCTACATGCGGGGCTCATACCTCTTGATGTGCGTTGAATTCACAGGAACATGGAGGTTGCAGTTTGGTTTTAGTCAAAAGCTGAAGAGCTTCAGTGTCTTTTGATGAAACACTCACGACTTTTTTCATGACCAAGCCAGGATTTTCTCAGAATATCAAGAACAAGTAGTCATTCAAGAATCGAGTCGCATCAAACTGGAGCAAACACGTGTGAAAAATCCCACCTGTCTTCACCATCTGCTCTGCCCTATCTGTTTCCACTCCCCCAAAACGCCAGGCCCAGCGCGCCTGAGCTTCCCGAACGTGCGAAGGTCACACGGTCCTTGGCCGCACGCCAGGCCCAGCGAAAGCGGGAGATCTGCGCGTGGCACGGCGGTTCCGACGAAGAGGTCGAGGTCGGACGTGACCAGGTCGGCGCGAATGTCTTGGCATGGTCATCGATCTTGTGTTCAAGTCTTTCTTTTTGTTGCCTTGTTTCAGCAAGATCGGTGGTACTGCCGGTCTAGCTCGTAGCCTGGACTCCCGATCAGGAAACACGACACCGGACACGTATAGGAGATCACATGTCATGACTCCCATGGAGAAGAAGAGATGCTTCCAATCAGATGCTTGGTGATCTTGTGTATCTCCCCAATCCAAGTCAATTCCCCTCCCTACCATGGCCCGATCTCATATGCCCGATCCTGATCCCAACCCGATCCGAGCGCAAGCAAAATGGCCCACCAGCCTTGAGCCACGCTTCCCCAAAGATGAAGAGGAAGTAGAAGCAGAAGATATGAAAGCAACCAATCGCCATACACACCTGCGATGGACCAACTAATCTTGACTCAATGAAAAAAAACACCAGGTTTCCCCCCCCGCAACCAGAATGGGGCTCAAATCCCGTCAACTCCAAAAAAAACATGATTCTCATGGTATACTAGTGGATGGTAGTGGTTGCGTCGATGGTGTTCCAAAAGCTTGTCTTGTTTACTCGTCCGGGAGTGACGTCCCTGCCTCGCACACCACGCTCCCGTGCATGGGAGTGTCGTAGACCAAGATGAACAAAAGGATTGGTACCAAGTCCAGACTCACGTAGACTCAGCATGCGAAGAAGCTGAATGTCGAGTGAGTTGATGTCCCTCTGAAGATGGGGTCGATTGGCTAACCGTGTGATAGGGTTCGATTCGCTCCCATGACGTGGTGCTTCACGTGGGAGCATCCCGTCTAGTATCAAAAGACTCCTTAGAAAAAAAAACATGTTTGAGACAAAAAACTCATAGTGCATACATGCAAATACAATGGTTGACAATATTGGACAATCGTTCCATCCGAAAATTCGGCGTTGCTGGATCTGATCTGCCTGGTGTTCGTTCAGCCGAAAAGACGTGTAGAGATTCCACCAAAGAGATTGAGTCTAAAGGCCATCATGGTTCAACGACCCAAAGCAAACTCTAAAAAGCTCTGTCCCTACCCTTTGGGCAGAAACGCGGCCTAAATTTAGTTATACACTTATAGCACACTGACTCAGTCCCGTCGCATTTAATCATGTCCTGCAACACTCTCAAATGAGACGCTGCTGTATAGATTTGTTTGATCTCTCTCTCTCTGGCTGATGGGTCTCGTGAGGCTTCCAAACAGGGCACCAAGTAGCAAGACCGACGACCCAAGGCGCCCGTAGCGCATCCTTCCCACGAACCCGACCGAGGAACGAAACACTTGCACGATGATATCCATGGCCTTGGCAAGCATCAAGCCTCAAAGGCCTCGCCTCTAAGCCTAGGGGCTGCCCTAAGCCTGGGGCTCCTGGCCGCCCCTCCCTTTTGGTTCGGTGGTTGGGGTGGGAACCACTTTCCGAGGATATGGTCGGGATCAACAGGGCGACATTTGTGGGGATCTTGCAGGTTTGAATGACTTTGAGATGTCTGACAAGTTGGGGTTCCTCTTCTTTTGAGTGAGACGATTGAGCCCTGTATTCCTTTTGACTTTGACCTTTAGATGGACGATGGACTTTGAGGTGGCTGGATGTATCTTTTAACGTTGCAAGTGTCAACAGTGTAAGGTTTAGATGTCCAGTTGGGTTCGGGGTGTTATGTGGGAGGCGAACCTATATTAATTAAATGAAAGACTCGACTGTCTTGTAGTCCCAGCACTTAGGAATCCTCTCGACTTTCCATCACCGCCTCCAAAACTCCCATTCAAAATCCTCACCAACTCACCACCTTGGCCACCGCACCGTTCACGCGGACCACGCGGACCGGGTCCAGCCGCGTCAGGACTGGGTGGAACCCCCGTCCACGCGAGTCACGTGCGAGTCCAAGCGCTTCCGGTTCAAAGACGGGCTGACCTTCTGGCACTTGTTGAGGCAAACGGACCAACTCTGAATGTACAACCTCGGCGACTCGCGGAGAGGCTGAATTGAGCGAGGAGGAGGACCACTGGTCCGATGCGATCCAAAGTGGAAGCTCAAAACAAAAGGATCGACTGACACAAACTCAACGATGAGCTGGCAGCGTTTATATGCTTTCTATCCTGGATTCCCCTTGCTAATTGCATTCGTGAATACAATTACGACGTTATACTCAATACAATTCGATTGAACATGATTGAAGCGAAGCCTGGAACAATAATTACCATGAGTCATCAAAAAGGCACTGATCTTTGCACACCTTGCACCAGATATTCGACCACGAAGCTGTCCGATGGCCAACTCCTTCCATGCGTCACCCACCCAAAGCCGGCGATAAGCCTGAAGCAAGAGCGAATACGGGTGTCACAATGGTTCCCAAAGGCTTGGGATGGTTCAGTCAGTGGACAATGCAGAATTCTAGAGAAAGAAAAACGGTCCACAGACGTTGAGGATTGCGATTTCACCTGCTATTGAAGGGATGTCCAATATGTCCACATGAAAAACCCCAGATCTTCACCTCACCTATTTCTCACCAAACGATTTACACCAGATTCCGCCACTTTTTTTTTTCTGTCACATCGCTCCGGCTCACGGAGACCCGGGAACCGGCGACCGTCGCACCGCTTCGGCACCTCGAAGGCGTCGGGCCTCCAGGCATCCACGCACCTGGCGGATGGGACCGGACGGGAGGATGGCGAGTGCAAGGGCAGCAGCCCGTGATGTTTGGGGTTCGCTCAACAAGGGGGCCCCTTCTTGAGATATCATGAGTTATGACCACCAAGTCGGATTTCTAGAAGGACCCGGTGGGCACCTGATGTCGATGTGTTTTACTAGAAGGTACTTTGCCTGCACCGCATCCTCTCCGAGCCCCAGCAAATAAGCTCCCTCGTTCGTCCGCGCGGCCGCACCACCGGGCCGACGAGCGCCACCCAAACGCCGCCCGAGACGCAAGAGGTAAGTGAAGCGCATGACATCCCCCGTGACGCTCATCAGGATGTAAGACCTGATGGCAGTCGGTGATGGCAGTCGGTGTCACGTAACCTCCAGGAGGGCAAACCGGGCAGTGTGAACCCAAGATCATTCATGCGCCAGGGATCCACATACCTTCTCATAAGGTACTTGGGCCCTAGGGATGGTGCGGAAAACTGGAAGGCTCTGGAAGGAGTCTGAGATCGGACAGGTTGGATCGGCCACGGGAAAGAGTGAGGGTGACGGGTG